CGTCATCCGCTCCTCATCAATCCATCAGAGAGCATCTTTGCTTGAACAAAACAAAATGGCAGCGGCGCCAAGCCAGCAACTTGCTGTGTTAAGTATACAGACAACAAGTTGCTTGAACAGCACCCGAAGGTCCAGAGCCGTGTGTGCAGCACAGACTACTACAGTGATTTTCGGCATCCCCAGTGGCTCTCCGGAGGTGACATATGAAGAATTAGATGTAACCAAGCTGGACCAATGTAAGTCTGTGAGAAAAAACAATCAACATGGAGTTCTGCTTTAGGCCGTCTGATGGGAGCGGCTTTACAAAGGTAAACCCAGCAATGGGTATAGAAAGCAAACAGGCCGAGCAGAAAATGCTGGACAGCGAATTCCGCTTCTGTCTGCAGAAAAGAAGCCGCCGAGGATTTGCTTATAATAACAGGACCCCATTTCACCCGCCTCGCCCCACCATCACATCACGCATCTGAAACATGGCGGACGCAATTCCCGATAACTGCGAGGAAAAGACTTCATAATCTGGTATCGCTGCATTTGCTGCAGTACAAGGAGAGCAGCACAACCGGCACTCCGGGAATGAAGAACGTTTATAACGCACAATGAGGGGAATTTTAAAACGGGAGCAGACGAAATCTGGAGCCGCTGTGCATGGCAACCAATCGGCTTCTCTTTTTCATTTTCAAATCTTAACTAAACAAATTGAAGAGAGAAGCTGATAGGTTGCCATGGGCAACTGCTCCAGTTTCTTTCTGTTACAGTTTTGATAAATTCCCCCCATAGTTCTTTTCTCGTTAAATAAAGAATAATTCAGAATTAACTGCTTGCTGCAGACATATAGAGGGGGATTTATCAAAACTGGAGCAGAAGAATCTGGAGTAGTTGCCCATAGCAACCAATCAGATTCTCTCTTCAGTCTGTTGAGTTAAGATTTAAAAATTAAAGACAGAAGCTGATAGACAGAAGCTCCAGATTCTTCTGCTCCAGCCCATGGCAACCAATCAGCTTCTCTCTAAGCTTAACGGAACAAACTGAAGAGAGATGCTGATTGTTTGCTACAGGTAACTGCTCCAGATTCTGTCTGCTCTAGTTTTGATAGGCCCTCCCCATAGAATGGGTTTACAATAAACCTATAGAGGGG